CGTACATTCTATTAAAATTATAAAACAAACCATATTTGTTATTTTGTTTGAGAAATTTTAGAAGAGTCAATTAAATAAATGTACCCGCTTTTTGGGCGGATTCTCGGCCCACCCTAATAAATATGTTACCAAGAGCAAACAGAAGTTGCCTAAGCGGAAAAAATTTAGACCAAAATATTAAACATTTTATTGCACATATATATATAACCGTACGTCTGAACCAAGATTAAATGAAAGGTAGCCGGACATTAGTTTCTAAAAATTCAAAAATGAAAATCATACATACAGGGCTTCCGAGAAAAGCGTCTTAAAACTTTTTATTTCAATTTCTTTTAATTTTAGAATTTCATTTTTACATTATGTTGGATATACATTAGGCTGGTTAAAAAAAAAGTATAGTCGAAGTTTTGATGCTCTCACACCCTTTTTTTATTCTCAAAAAAAAAATATTTTAAGGTCGCCTAAGGTGGAGGAAAACGATTTCTCGTCGAAATAGTATAGTATTCTTAAAAATCAATACTTTTTATCGGAAAACTCTGTTTCTCTTCAGGAGACTACCGATAATAATAACCAATTATTATTTTAATACACACATAAAATCCAATGGGGGACCCATAAAAAAATGTTACTATAGAAAAATGGTTAAATAAACAATTGGGTATTATTATCAAACATTCACTAAGGATGTGTGCTCGCGTTTCTTCGTCCATCTCATAGAAACAACAGATGCTCGTGTCTGAAAGATTAATTTTACAGAGGTGAGCAATGTCCCGTGAGGTACCCAGTGAGAGTTCGAAGGTCTTCCCTGAAGCTTCTTGTAATGGAGAGATGAACCGCTTAGCTTGTCTTTACCCTGGACCTTCACTCCTATGGAATGATTTGTCCACCCACTTGTTTATGATCCCATTTGAGTGTGCTTTGGTGAACCCACAAAAGGATTTCGGGACATGGAATATTGTGGTAGATCCGTGTTTTGCTAGGCGGGTCCCCTGTTCATTGCCATCGTGGCCCTCATGCCCCTGCAAACAGCCATTAATGCTCTGTTCTTGATTCCAAGAGCATTTAGGGTGCTGATGCAGTCGTCAACAAGTTTTGATGTTGTTGTGTTGAATCAGCGCTAGCAAGGTAGCCCGTCCGACATAATGCACATGTTTTAGAAGTTGTACCTCTTCTTAGACATTCTCTGCTACATACCTCTATCGTACGAATGTCCCCTTTGGAAAATGGTGGGGTAGCTGCCCATTCAGTTTCAGTTTTCCCAACTTAAAGTTTTGATCCTAACATCATATCCTGTTTTAAATTCGGAAGTAGCTAAGGTTCTCAGTACCGAAAAGGTGGCCTCCCTTAAGATTGGGAAGGGTGGTATTTCCACAAAAGAACTGAGTGCATCAGTAGCACCTGTTATGCCAATGCACACCATTCGGTGCAATTTGCTTTGTTTTGTAATAGCAGTTCTTTGTGTCGCTTTAGTCCACCACACCAAGGATGCGTAGGTGACTATCAGCGTCACAACCGTATTAAATGGCCAGACGGTTACTTTGCGGGAGAGTCGCGAAATTATCACAAAAAGTCGCGAACCAGCTAAGAAGGCTCTTATCGCCTTATTGGCGGTTGCATCCAAATGTGAGTGTGTGATCCAGCCTCACACCCAGATATTTTGCTTCATTTGAGAGACATATTCTAGTGCTGCCCAGATTACATTACTCCATGTATAAAATTTTTCTCCGGGTAAACGGAACCAGAGTAGTTTTGGTAGGATTAATGGATAATCTTTTGGTACGACACCATTTTTATGTAATGCGCATTTCTTGTTGCATGTGGTTGGAGATCGTTTCTCCATGCAGCCCTGTTACGCAGATCACCGGATCGTCTGCATAGTAGGAATGTTAATCCCGGGATCCCGGGTTCCCGGACTTTTTAAGGTATCGAAAACCCAGGGATTTTCGGGTTTGAAACTTGCACTGATGGCAATAATAGAAACTCCTTTTCTTGACCAGTCTTGGCCATATTTCTTTTTTTATTTAATAATTAATACTTTCTTTATAAATGTCTAGCTCATTATACACTTAACACTGAGCGATAGTAAATTTTAAACACAGTTATCAATATATTCGCGAAACCATGGGCTAAATATAGTAAAATTGCATTTTTAGTTTTTCACTCTGATGTCTGTAATTCAAAAATGATTTTAAAATTTCAGAGAAATATGCTTAGAGAAGAAGTATGGGTATAAAATTAATTAGGAAATCCTGTAGAATTTAAACAGATTCAAGTTTCTAATGCAGAAGGGCTGGTAAATATTGAAAATGTCATTTTAAAATTTTATCCTTGAAATTTCGCAATATTTGTTTTTGAACAAATTATATGTTAAGGGCTTATATAGACTCGATAAAATCCTCTAATTTCGTTCTTCTAACTTTGTCTGCCTAAAACTTACTTATTCGTCCCTGTGAATCCAAAAAATTTGAATTTTTTGAATTCTAATGAAATTTTTTATTGCATTTGTTACCCACATTTTTATTCTACACTGAATTGAAGTTTTTAATAATTTTTGGAATTAATTATATCTTTGAAATTACAAAGTCCTTCAAAATAAATCCTGCGATCAGAGAGAAAAATTAAAAACTTCACTTTGAATAAAAAAGTGGGTTTCAAACCCAATTATTTATTATTTATTTCATCGTAGGAGAGCTTCTCAAACAATATAGAAGCAATTTTTTCGATTCAAGTTGTTGAACAGTAATGAATATCTAAATCCAGGGACTAATCCCGGGATCCCGGGATTGTGACAACGCCATCCCGAAAATCCCGGGATCGGAAAAAGCCGAAAAATTAACATCCCCACTGCATAGCCTTGTGTTTCAAAGCCGTGATCGTTCAGTAGGAAGGGGAGTTCGTCTATAACCACAGTCCACAGGCTATTTTCTTAGACTCCAGAACCTTTTCAATTTTCCTCTTAAGGCTATGAATGGCAGTCTCAGTGGATTTGCCTGGTTAATACGCAAATTGGTTCTTATTCAGTGGTTGTTCCGTGTTTTCTGATGTGTTGATCCAAGATTTTCTCCCGCTTTTAGGATGAAGGCTTCTGCTCCCTACCTACGGTACAAATAAGACCTCAACCTCTGTCTTAAAAAAAATGGAATAACAATTTTCCAAGTCATATTTCTGAAAAAGCCATGTATGTATGATTTAAATTTTTTATAAATGTTTTTAGAAACTTGGAACAATATACTTTTAAAATTTGCAAGATTGTCCAATGTCCGGCAACCTTTCATATAATCTTGGTTCAGACGCACCGTGATATCTGTATTACTGAATAACTAAAAGGAATTATTATATAATAAAAACTTAGTTAAAATTTTGTGAATTGTATTTACAAATTACAAATTTATTCTGTGGTTGAAAGGAATTAATTGCCGGCAGGAACTAATCAACTTTTTTGCCAAAGCCACAGCAAATGGTATGGAAAAATAGTGGTTCAATAAGGATGGTCTGAAAAATAGTTAAAAAAAAACTCATCACTGAACACATTTTTTTTTTTTAATTATCACCTTTTCTCACTTAAATGTCAATTTTTTGCTCTTTGTGGTACATTTTCGTTTCGCTTATAACGTCACATCACTGCAGCTGGCTGTCAAACTCAAACCAAAAAGAGCGTAATATTTCTTTCTATCATACTTGATGCCGGGTAACTACGCTACTTTCGCTTCGTTGTAATTGTCAGAAGTACTAGTTAATAACGTACTCGGACGATACTAACATATACTAAGTTTATACTCACGTATTGCTTTCAAATAGCAAAATGGTAACCTTCGCCGCATAAACGCTGAGTTAATTCTTTATTTGCAAATAACTATGTCACGCAAAAACCTTAGTATTGATTAGTGGTATTATTTGCAAATAAGCGCAAGACGTTGCCATTCTTAGGTTTATTTTCATTTTCTATGTTAATCTTATTCGCTTTTTATAATGAAGACAATGCACGGCATATCATTCCCAAAAGTGGTCATATCATTGCCATTTTATAATACGGTAATGTTGAAAAAGAATGTTTCACCGTCGAATATACAGTGAGTTTGGTATTTCCACATTATTTTTATTTGCTAATAGCTTACGTGTAAACGTAGTAATATTCGTGCAGGCCACTACCTAGATAGAATACAAGATTGCGCACTCCCGACGGCGATGACATTTGTGGGTTCAAAGTAGCTAAGCCAAATAAGAGGTTAAAAGAGAATATGAGATTAGCCACTTATCTTAATATTACATTTTTCGATTGGAAACGTGTTTTAATTGCTTTTAATTGTGAAAATATTTGATTTGTAATCAAAATTAATAACGGAAATGTGAAAAACGGTGATTTTATTGAAAGTATAGTGAATTTCACTGCATTTAAATTTTTTGAGGCGTTGTTTACTATATATCGACAGCTGTAAAAATCGGCAAAACCAAAGTAGCGGTTTACGGAATGCGTCACCTTCTGTTCGCTATACTGTTCGCGAAGACTTTTGGGAAGGGTTCACATTTTAATGAAAAGTGTTTTGAACTTTACTGTTTTTGTTGTATTAAAAGAGTCGGCCGCTGTGGTGTAGTGGTAAGCAGTGCGCGCTTTCACTCATCAACACCTGGGTTCAAGCCCTGGTCATAGCAATATCCCAAAAAAATATAGAAAATGGGTTTTTTCTTAACAGCGGTTGTCCCTCGGCAGGCAATGGCAAACCTCCGGGTATATTTCTGCCATGAAAAACAGCTTCTCATTAAAATACAATCGCCGTTCGGAGTCGGCGTAAAACTGTAGGTCCCTCCGCTTTGTGTGACAACATCAAGGCGCACGCCACAAGTCGGAGGAGAAGCTCGACCAAACACTAACATATGTGTAAGCGCCAATCTATTATTATTATTAAAAGAGTTGCAAATCACTTAGCTTGCCAGACTTCAAAGTAAGGAAATCTGTAATTACAACTTGTTACATTTTATAAATTAATAGATAAACGACGTACTTATAGCAGATATTAATGCCCAGTCGCAAATGTTCAATATCAGAAAGACCGATTTTAAATTAATCGTACTAATCACTCGTCGATGAGAAAAAATATTATGCACACCGAACATTTCAATCGAAATAAAAATAAAATTGTGGCTTTCTGTAGGTATGTGTATTAAGGTATAAATATATATATGTATTTAAATGCTTATAATCACTAAATTATTTCCACTTGTCTTATCTGCTGCAACGCTAATTTAAAACTGCCATCCTTGTAAACACAGTTTGTAGTTGCGCTTACGAAATGTTTGATAATTCATCTTTAGTAGAAAATAATCTCGCTTTGACGCAAACTGAATTGAATATTCCATACTTAAACAGATCTTCAGAGATAAGACTTTACTTCGGGCGCTACATAAATTGCACACTTATACACACATACGTACATACGTATGTACACACATACAGTATTTCAAGAAACAGAAAAATTAATTTTTTTTATACCAGAATGAAATAAAGAACATATAATCTGTGTTTGTAGTAATACTCTAAACATGTGATTTTATAGGTAATTTTTTGGTTTTGCACCCAATAAGTTAATTTTTCGCAGTCCATTTTGGTACTTTTCACCTGACATCGGACGAGAAAAACAAACATGTTAGAATTTATCATCACTGACGGATGCCAACGGCCGATGTCAGTTCGGTTATCGGTTTATGTGTGAGAGCGCTCATATAATCACAAGTGTTTATTAATATCGCCCGCATATAGCCGATATTGGCCGATGCTGGCTGCAGTGGGCGCGTAGCATTTGCAAATATGCCCTTCTATATGCTAAACAAATAACGTTTTATTTATTTTTTTTCAATCATCTTGAAATTACAGTATAAATTAAAATGTTTTTTTTTTTTTTAAATTAGTAATCGAAAATGACCTTCTCTGGTCATTTAAAATTGTGAAATATTTCGAAAAACTCCCTTCCACATCCGTAGAAGTAGTTCGACAAAATTTTAATAAACTCAATTCTGCTGGGGAAAACTTCGATAGATTTTCACTCCTGGTAGTGAAGTTAGAAAATAACATACCTTTATATTAGCAATTGCGGTATAGCCAGGGTTCCAGGACAAAATAGTTTCAATTTTTTTTGAATAGATATATATTTGTGTCCAACATTTAGTATAGCTCTTTCACAGTTGTCACAGTTTCCAAACTTTATTTCATTGTCAAACCTTTGTTATACCAGAGAACTTAGATAGATAGAAAAGGTGCAAACAGAAAGTGGAAAATATTCGCGGACGAAAAATTAACAGCGTTGGAAAAGTTAACGACGGAATGTAGAAACGCTTGTTAACAGACAGAAATTATGTTGAATTTAATGTGGATAACATAATAAAATGTTGAGCAACATAAAATCTGCCCATTTTCATGTTGCGAGCAAATAAACGAAAATATGGCAAATCTTCATATAATTTTCATTAATTTGTAATTTTTGTAAAATTTTTTAACTTGTTCTCTTTTTGTGAAGATGCAAATACAATTTAAAAAAATTATAGTTTTGCATAAAAATTACACACATATGTACATTAGGCATATAACTTTTTACAATTTTTGCAAATACGAAAAACGGCATACCATAGTCGAATAGAGCATAAAAAAGTATGAACCCCCATTATTTTTTTTTTGCGAAATTGCAAAAAAGTTTCCGCGCAAAACGAAATTACTTTTTTATCAGAACTGCTGAAAAAAACAAAAAAAAGTTTTGTACAGTGTACACGTTTTTCTTCATAATAATAAATATTTATTTAACTAATAATCTTCCTATTATTCCAAACGCCTTTTAATGGACCTAAGGGAAGTGCCCCACCCATCCCAAACTAATTTTTCTTCAGAAAATTCTGATTCAATATTAAAAAATTTAAAAAAGAAAAAGCAATTTTTTCAAGAACTCGCATAGTCAAATAATAATAACAGCGACAATGTATTTACATCTGACGAGACGAGAGCGTAGTTACATACTTCTTCTCTTTTATTTAATGTTCTCTATGCAAGAATGATAAAAGAAAGATTACGATAGTTGAATGATTTCCCGTTAGATGACGAAACAAAGTTTTACTTCAGTTGTGTGATCTTAAGCACATTTGTTTTATCATTCAATTTAGAAATTGAAATAAATATTTCAAATCTCTTTTTATCGGGATAATTAAATCTTGTTTGTGTAAAAATGTTTAAGACAAGTGCTAAAAATGTTGAAAAGTATTGTAATACGTGGAAAGAAAATTTAGCTAGAAAACACAATGTATAAAAAATGTGGACATTCCATTGTTCGAATTATGTAATTATGTATTGTATTGGCCGGCTTCACAAAAGCAAATGAATGTTTTCTCAGACATTGGGTAAATAAACCATCAGCTATTGAGGAAGTTCAGCGAAGTAACATCTGCGCAGAGCGTGCAATTAAAATTGTGCAAGACATTTTACCATTGTGTAAATCATCACATACTTTAAACTTAAAACTTATTTCATATAACAATTGACAAAAATGTAAAAATAAAAATATTAAAAAAAATTTTAAAAAAATCTGACTTTTTTTAGAAATCCATTTTTGCGCGGAACGTTTTTGAACCGAAATCACCTGAAAAAGTGATATTCATTACTTGTACAATATTTGCCACCACGTGGGGGTATGCCAAATTTTTCGTCAACATTTGTTATATGCCTAATGTACATGTATGTACATTGGCAATCAAAAGTGAGTGCACGGTGTGTTTGTTTAATATTTTCAATGTTTTTCAATAAAATAGGTAGATCGGTTTTTTAATTTTAGTGGAACAATATCAAGTTTTAAGCAGCTAAAAAATCGGGTTGATTTTTAATGATTTTTTATTGCTGATGGCTTTTTGCACTTTTTACTGAGTAAAAGGGAATTTCTTGTAAAATAAAAAGCGAATGACCGTTTGCAAACAAATGTAAAAAAAATTAACGCTATATTTTATAAATTCCACTTGTTATGTGCATAAAACCGCAAAACCCGTCGAACCAAATATTAAAAAAAAACAGCATACACCCACTTTTGATTCCCAGTGTACATACATATGTGTGTTTAAAATTACCTACTCATGAAATAATTTTTGTGGCATGAACATATGTATGGATACATACTTGGGCTTTGTAAAAATGGGAATAAAAATTGGATTCGCATAAAATTTTAATTCCATTAACTAATATTTTAGTGAAAACATCTACTATATATTTGTGGAAGTATGTATGTATGTGCCACGTTGCAGCCTAAACGGACGGACAGTCGAACAAAATTTTGACAGAGTATTGCCATGACTCCTGGGCATAAAATAGGGTGAAAAATTGGGATCCTACAAGGGGGCCTGGCACCTCCATAGGCGTGAAATATTTAATCAGCCATAACTTCGGAACCATAAGTCACATGAGCTTGAAATTTGGTATGCAGGCATGTCTATGGTAAGCGCTTATAATACGGCATATATAAATGAGTTTGTAAAAGGGGGGCGCGGCACATCTCATAGGCGTGGAATTTTTTATCAGCTATAACTTCGGAACTATAAGTCCCACGAACTTGAAATTTGGTATGCAGACATTTAAATGGTAGGTGCTTATAGGAGGGTATATATAAAGGAGTTTGTAAAAGAGGGCGTGGCACATCTCATAGGCGTGGAATTTTTCATCAACTATAACTTCGGAACCATAAGTCCCACGAACTTGAAATTTGGTATGCAGGCATGTCTATGGTAGGCGCTTATAGTACGGCATATATAAATGAGTTTGTAAAAGGGGGCGTGGCACAACCCATAGGCGTTGAATTTTTTATCAGCCATAACTTCGGAACCATAAGTCACACGAACTTCAAATTTGGTATGCAGGCATTTAAATGGTAGGCGCTTACAAGAGGGTATATATAAAGGAGTTTGTAAAAGGGGGCGTGGCACATCGCATAGGCGTGGAATTTTTTATCAGAATATATCTTTGGAACCATAAGTCCCACGAACTTGAAATTTGGTATGAGGGAACGTCTATGGTAGGCGCTTATAGTATGGCATATATAAATGAGTTTGAAAAAGGGGGCGTGGCACATCCCATAGGTGTGGAATTTTTTATCAGCTATAACTTCGGAACCATAAGTCCCACGAACTTGAAATTCGGTATGCGGGCCTGTCTACGGTAGGCGCTTATAGTATGGCATATATAACTGAGTTTATAAAAGAGGGCGTGGCACATTCCATAGGCGTGCTAAGATTTTGGTTCATGTATGCGCATGTATGTGTAACGCTGGCTATAATATTTTCAAATCTCAGAAGGCTTTTCTTTGATTATTGAAAGCATTGAGCGAATTTCAATTTTTAAAATAACATTGATGCTAAGATTTACGTACATTCATATTTGCGAATGTATGTATGCATTAATAACGTTTACGTTAATATTTTCAAATCTCAGTAGGCTGCTTTTGAATATTCAAATTATTTAGCGAATTTGAATTTTTAAAATAGCATTGATGCTAAGATTTACATACATTCATATTTGCGAATGTATGTATGTATTATTAACGTTTACGTTAATATTTTCAAATCTCAGTAGGCTGGTTTTGAATATTCAAATTATTTAGCGAATTTGAATTTTTAAAATAACATCGATGCTAAGATTTAAATTCGTATTTTCGAATGTATGTGGGTATGTATTAATAACGTTTACATTAATATTTTCAAAGCTCAGCAGTGTGTTTTGAATATTCAAATTATTTAGCGAATTCGAATTTTTAAAATAGCATTGATGCTAAGATTTACATTCATATTTGTGAACGTATGTATGTATTAATAATTTACGTTAATATAGTCCAGTTAAATTAAAATTTTAACAGCAATTTTTTGATGCAGTTTTCTTCGATTTAACACGTAGGTTATGGATCCATTATCTTGCCCCTAAATTACATTCGGCAACATTCCGCCATCTTGGATTTAAGGTTTTTTGGGTTTCTGCGATTTGCAAGCTTATTTTGCATTTTTTGTTAAAAAATTGTTAAATGCAAATATGTAGAGAATCTAATTTCCCACATTCGGGTTATAGAAGGTTTTTTAAAAATAGCATTTTTTATTGTAAAAAATTTGCAAAAAATGCTAAAAAATTTTACATTGTCACGGTTTTCGCCATTTTTTGACAGTTTCTGTTAAAAATACATAGCATATTGAAATTCCAAAGTTGTAGACAATTTCATTCTCCACAGCTTTTCTTCCTACATTTTTTTTTGTACAACGGTTATATCACGGCCGGAAACGCGATAAAAATTGCGATGTACGGGATGCGCCGTAAAACTCATAATGAAATTCTCTACAACTTTGGATTTCAATATGCTATGTATTTTCAACAGAAACTGTCAAAAAATGGCGAAAACCGAGACAATGTAATTTTTTTTGCAGTTTTCGCTATTTTTTTACAATAAAAAATGTTTTTTTTTTACTTTCTATACAACAGATGTGGGAAAT